ACCATAACTAGTTAACAGAGTAAAGAAACCCCTTACTACCACCTCCTGTATTCCAAACAAACCAAGAAAATGAAAAAAAAAAAGTTTTTGATAGGTCAGAAATCGACAAGTATAATAGTATTCACATCAAATACCTTCTCAGAATAAGGTGCAAATTGTTGAATTATGGATTGGGTAGGAAGGGAATAAGGGGACAAGAAGAGAATTAGTAGAATATAAAAATAAAAATTTAATGTATTCCACTTGGTGGGTGGGGTGGGAAAAATTTAACTTGATGAGTGGGCTATCCTACAGGGCAAGTTCTCTGCTTTTCCAAGGGGATATCCTCTTGGTGGACAGGATATCCCCTTGGTGAAGTAAAATTCTTTGTCAATGGGATAGAACATATATAGACAACACCTCCGCTAAGGTAGAACCCCATACAAACATCACAACTGGAGTATATATAACCCCGTACAGACTACTCGCCCCCTGACCTTCACAGATGCCTCAATATAAACACCTTCACACACAGCCGCCTATATCATACATCTACATGCTCTTACATGTCTGCCTTTGTCCCACAGCCGCCTATGATACCATCAGAGTTCCCGCGTGTATCAGAGCCCCACCGGTTTATATAAAAATTAGGGTACCGCTCGTGCTAAAGGTCCGAGGCCTTCGGGATCTCCTTTGCATTATCATATCATACCAGAAAACCCTTCTAGAACGTGCTACTCTATTCGGGACATACGGGCGGGAGATTTTATCCAGGTTGAAGGGAAACACTTCATACATACGCACCGTACTCGCTCTGGGCGAGATGTGATAGCTTGACCAATGATGTCAAAAACAATATCATACCACCTTGGGCTTAACCTACTACCTGTGCACTTAAAGGGCAGCAGCAGTTTGGGTGAAGGTTAAAAACTCGTGGACCAAAAACCCCCCCTACGATACCCAGCCCACTCGAGTGCTCGGTCGACCCCGTCTGGTATCATAGAGCTAAAGTTGGAGCTTGATCATCGCGGAGATCCTTTGTTAAATCCATCAACCGGAAGTCTGAATAAACGAAACGAGCGCGAATGAAAGCATCACGGGGACAAAAAAGTGCAAAAATCGGGAATGAGAGGGTGTGCATGTCACACACACACACACCTCTTGTAGAGGAAATTGCTATGATATAATACACTTTCTTGATACAGAAAACTAGGATTCGTGCAGGGAGCACCCGACCTGGCGGTAGAGGTACTGGACAAGTAATCGTTAAGGAAGAAAAAGATATGATATCTTGATAGTGACATTATCTAATATCATGCAACGCCACCGCCTCAACCCCGGTCTCTAAACACTGACTGGCAGACCTCCCCATTTAGACTACTGGCCTGGGCATCATCCCGCCCATGGTGATACCTCGTACAGTACAAGGCGTTTCCCTGGCCTCGTGCGCAGAGCTAGAAACCCTTGTTCCGCGCCCGACCGTGAATGAGGATGGCCAAATAATGATTTCCATTCCCACACCGACGTTCGCATGCGCTTTTAATGGGAGGCGTAGAGTGTGGGTTTCTGTGATGATGATACAGCACGAAAAAGTGACGACCCTTTGCAAACGATTCTTGAGATGGGAGGATTACCGAGTGGCCCCATGGTAGGCCATATCTTAATGGTGGTAGGGGTGAGATTCTGCTCAGTCGAGCGGTGAAACGCTGTAAATCCGCACCTCACTATATTCAGAAGTGAAAGAAAAAAAACAGTACGATTATCACGCACCGCATCCGGTGTCTATGAACGTAGACCTCGAATGCTAGTGACTCCTGGCGCGATGCCAAAAAAAGCCCACTGGCCAACAACACAAAAAGAAACGCCCCCTAAAATCCGGAAATAAAAGAGTAGTCAGGTCTCCTATTAAGAGTTCATGCTTCAGTATTATACATCAGTTTCCCCTATAAACCTCATCGCCCCTGAGATTCCGCAGCCTCTCTGCTGCTTGTTCCGGCGTGATATCACGCTGCGGCTCGGCCATGAGCTCGTATCTATAACTTTCTTAGTGGGCGGCGAGGTTATAAAGAGGCGGGGAACTCTTACCCGACGAGGAACTTCTTCACTGTAGCGCTACGGAGCAGTGGGGGGACAAAGTGTAGATGCAGGTGACATGCCTCGCAGTCCTCTGGGTCACCGTCAAGTGGCGCCTGATGTATCCCCATACCTTTCGTAGCACGATTAGTTGGCCAGGCCAGCAGCTTCTAGCTTATTCTACTCACTATAAGGGAAGTTTGTCTCAAACAAATTGTCGTACTTCTTCGTGACGATAGAAATAATTCCTGCGAGCCCAGCTCGCTCCTCCTCCGTCAACTCCGGAAGGCTACGCACCTCTCTTCTGCAAACGATCATAGTCTCGAACGGCCATACAGCCCACCAAGGGCACAGAGCCGCAAAATAGTCATTAAGCGCCACGACCCTCTCCATCTTTGCAATCTCAAGATCCACATAGTCCTTCAATAACCCAGTCCCATGTTTGCGCTTGTACTCCTTCATGTTCCGAATCTCCAAACTGGGTTCCTCGGGGACGCTAGTGGTGGTCCAGACCTGACCATGGGGATGGGGATTCGAGCAGCCCATAGCAGCACCTTTGTTCTCGAATATTTGCATGTAGGTATACTGGTCTCTGGGGGCCGTAATCCCGAGCTCTGCCGCTGGCGCCCGGTAGTATGGGGATGATTTGGGGAGGTGGGATGTGTAAAGTGCCGTCCAGGTTTTGATGATTGGGGCTATCATCTCGGCTGGCATGTCTGCCAAGGTGAGGTTGTGGGATGGGCTGAAGCATATCACGTAGCATTTACCTCGAACACCGGCGACTTGTAGGAGGAGTGAGGACTTGTCTGTCGGAATAACCCCCGTGGTAAGCCCCTGCGTCCAACCTGCAAGATGGACCTACCCCCGGATCTTGGTTGAACATAGTCGGGCTGATCTTCCTTCACAGCGCTGTAGTCGTTAACGAAAACGAATGTCCCCGAGTATGCCGGTGTGGTGCCGCCTGCTGCCCGGGTGTTTCCAGGACACAAATAACACGAAGAATCGAAAGCCGGAAGCGACATTTTAGAGGGGGTTTCCTCCTGACCCCTATAACCCTATTAGCCCCTCCATCCCCATAAAAACAGCACAGGAATCTCAATTCTTACTGCCATGGTCGCTTCGCGCGATGCGGTGAAACGAGAATCCATGATCCACGTAGAGGATTAAAGCGACGGTGGGAAATGTCATCCAAGACTTCACGATCGCTCATTTCTCACGCTCTCTGGCTGCTACCGGTCCCCAGACGAGGTTTTGATAGGGGATGAGTGGGCCAACAGAGAGGGTGGGATGGGGGAAGAGAAGGGTTGTATTCAGCTTACGGTAGTAATCGGGGGGCGCGACATGTTTGTTAGTGGGGTTGAAGCGCTGAAGGGTCTCAACTTGAACCTATCAACCGCAGCTTTCCAAATTCCACTGAAGATCATAACATCCGGTTGCGATACAGGTATCATGCCGGTTTGATTTTCATGCAAAACTGTGGACGCACTGAATTATAGCGAAGGAAGCCTCGGATCTCCCTCCTCTCCCGCTCTTCGGGACGCTGCGGGCAAAAAGGATGTCTTGCCCCGAATCGCTACCGGTAACGAAGAGTGGTCGAGCGCACGGGGCCAGGTGCGAGAAGTGTGGTGTCCAATTACCGGTACCGTATTCCATTAAGAAGCCCGGCTCCAAACAGTCAGTCAGATGGTAGTGATGATCCCGAAGGAACTACTCGAGTAGTCTGCTAGTCTACAGGCACGAGTATCCTAACCGCAAATCTCTACCGCAAGGATCAACGGCAAAACCCCCCGAGCGGCCAAATAAACCCACCAAAGCCACACTCCACGCCCTCAATGAAGCAAAAGAATCCAAACCAATATCCCCCACGCGGATGAAACAAGCCCAAGTACTCGAGTACCCCCGAACAGACTCCCGGTAGGATATATGATACCGAAAGGCAAGCCGCGAGACCCAAACACAAAGCATCACCTTCCCCCAGTTCAATGACAATTGCACCCAGATCAACCTCCCCACTCCGGCACCGTGGCGTAATGGCTAACGCATTGCTTTCCGGTGGCAAAGACTGTGGGTTCGAGTCCCATCGGTGTCGAAAGGAGTGTCTCCCTCTCGTTCGTTATCTTTGTTTATCTTTTTGTTGCACGAGAATGGGTACAAAAGCAATGGGGGGAATAAAAAGTACTATGATATCATAATACGGTACCGTATTATGAGGAAGGATCGACACGACAAATACCCTATCGTGCATGAACAATAAATCTATGCCTCACCATGTTAGATGGGGTCAAAAAATGGCCCGATCGGAAACGGACTATGGACTCTGTCCACGATACCGATGCTCTACGGTACTACCGATACTCGACTGCTCGAGTGGTACGGCATCATTCATTGTTCGCTGACAAAGTTCCCGCACGGGATCCTCCCACCAGTTATGATATGCACCAGCTGGAAGGGGCCGGCCGATAAACAGGGCGGGAGAGCCGGAAACTTCCCCCCCTGAGAGCCCAATCAGGACCCACCAAATGGCAGGGTAAAGCTTCTCCCCACCTCACCCCAACAATCAATCAATACACAACCACCACCACCACCACCCCCTCCCCCTTTCTGCCCTTCCCTTACTTGTACCTTCCCCTCCCTTACTTGTACCTTCCCCTCCCCTCCCCCCTCCCACCCTCTCTCACTCTCTCACAGAGCCTCACCACCACCACCACCACCACCTTTCAAACCAAAATCCCTCAAAAAAAAAAAAAAAAGAGAAAAAAAAACAATGGACCAGATAACGGATTACCTCCCCCAAACACCCGGCCTGCTCCCAAAATGGCTGCTCTTCGTCGCCGTGGTGGCGCTCGGCAACTCTGTGCAGGCGTACCTGACGCTGCGCTTCAACAAACGCATATACTGCGCGCGTCCGCACGACGTGACCGCCCTCTCGTCCCGCACCTTCGGAACCTGGACCGTGCTCAGCGCGATCCTGCGCATCTACGCCGCCTACCACATTCACGACCCCGTCATCTACGATCTCGCGATGTGGAGCTATGCCGTTGCCGGGGCGCACTTTGTCAGCGAGTGGTTGATTTTCGGGAGTGCTGGGTTAGTAACTGCGGGGGGGGGTCTCTTTCTTGAACCTCCCAAATTCTCTCCCCCTTTGAAGCGGGATTGTGGCTGATTTGGAGAACAGACTGGGTGCTGGGTTAACGGGACCGTTGGTGGTTTCTTCGACGAGTCTTGCTTGGATGATTACGCAGCGAGGGGAGTATTAAGGGGATTTTGGGCGGTCTGTCCGAAGTCGGGGCGGGGCTAGGAGTTGGGATAAGCTGTTATGATTGTTGCTTAGATGATACTTGGCGGAAAATACAAGAGCAATTGAATGGGGAGAGACCTATCCCGCTAAGAGAGACCATACTCGTAAAACTTCACTACGGCTATCGCACTACCCTCCACAGAGAACATATCACACGGAGAAGAAAAAAACCACCACACGAGGATTAATACCAGGTTCCCAGTCACTCAATTAAATTAATTATATCCCTATCCTATCAACATAACCTTCCCAACCTTTTCCTTCCCTTTCCCCCCTTCCATAATCTTCATAACGCCCAAATCCAAAAAGCCCCAAAAACTCCAACCAGTAAATCACACACACACACACACATACACGCGGAAAAGAGATAATGCCTAAAGGACTAAAACAGCATGGCCAACTCCATATCCCTCATCCCGGGGGTTCGCTCGGTATGTCCCCACCACTTGACCCCTCTCCCAGAAGCAAAGCTCCTCGAGTTCCACCTGCCGTTGCACATATCCACTCCATCGCCCGGCCTCCACTCTGTCGATACCCGGGCATTAAGCAGGCCCGCAACCGTCAGGACAGCAAACTCGCTGCCCCAGAGATCTGGTAATAGCTCGTACTTGACTTTGCTCCTCCAGTCTCCCATGAATGCCTTCAAGTCGACGCTTAATCCCTCCTTCTTCGCCGTCCCCTCGGTCACCACTATACGCATAAATGTGCTCTCCCTCGCCGCCTCAATTCGGTCTTGCGCGTTTATACGTGCCTGGGGGAGCGAGCGGGAGTACCGGGTCTCCGGGTAGAAGTATTTGTCCTCTCGCTGCTCCTGCTGTATCCTCAGGAGGCGGGCTTCGACCCTGTCGAAGGGGAGGACAATATGCTCGAGTGGTTTGCAAACGACCTGGATGATACCGTGGTGGTCCGACGGCGCGCGGATGGCCTTTAGGGCCGGGAAGGCGGAAGAGTGGATGCTACGGGCGAGTAGAATGTTGGCTGGTCCAGGGATTAGCACATCCCAGTGGAGGAGCTGTAGGGTCGCCGAGGCAAACGTTGGCTTGGTCCTGTCTGCGCATGACTGCGGGGGTAGCTGCGGACTGCTGGTTTGCACCAGCGTGAACTTCTCCAGGTGCATCAGACGGGAGAATATCTTGGAGATGAGAAGGGTCGAGAGTAGCTCGAGTTCTATCAGCGACAACGAGCGGATTCTTCGGCGGACGGAGGCTCGGTCGACGTACTCCGATACACCTGCGTCCGTTACGCCAGGGAGCTCCTCTAATCGTAGGTACTCGATTTGGTCCGGGATGGCCATAAGAGTGTTGTCATCGAATTCGTAGTCATGGAATCGAGCCACGAGCAGCTTCTTGAGCGAGGGTAGCTGTTCGAAAACACCCGCAAACGTGAGATGGCTCATCGACCCAGCTTTGTTCCCGGATCCCCCCTGTAAAACCAATGTCTCCAGCTTGGTCCAGCGGATATGCGCGTTCGCGAATGATTCTGATTGAGCCAGCTGCATAGGTCCCTCGGGCTGAATCGTCCAAATATGCTCCTTCAAAAAGTCTCGAGAGAGAAGGGCGGTCTGGAGGTTATCCTTCACACCCACTCTGTACTCGGGATAGTGCCCCTCCAGCCTTTCCAGGTGTGGGCACAACTGGACTATTGATGCCACGAGCTTGTTGTTTTCCTTGCTCTCCTTGGCCGTCAAGTCCTGATATTCGGGCAACTTCAATTGCCTGACCATAGCAGCAAAATCAGGCCTAACGAGTAGCGTCTTTCGGAGAAGCCATGCTCGGCATCCGTTTCGCATCTTTATCCGCTTCTTAAGCTCGGGCGAATCGTCCCCCGCAATATATATCCTGCCGTATCTATTATCCGAAACTCATCAGCACCTAGCTCCGTTATTTATATCGTGTCGGGCTATCAAGGTAACAAACAACTGTGGTATGGCAGCCGCATGCCATTCCATGCACACTTTCGAGTAAGACGAGAGATCCCTTGCCAGGCAGGTAGGGCATGAAGGCTCATCGAGATCCTTATGCAACGCTTCCAAGTGCCCCAGGATGCGCGAGTGTATCTCCCGTGGGAGAACAACCTCGCAGACTGCATGGAGAGGTGGTATTTCGGCCAAACGGCGATATTGCAGCAGGGAGAGGCCAAAGCAACGATAATTCTGCCGACGAGACCCTCTCACCGCCATCGTTGCACTGGACGATCGAAGGTGAGTCTGGAGCTTTGCGGAAGAGGAGGAAGAGAAACACATTGGGTTGGGGGGCGAGTTCCTTATTATAAACCGACTTCCCCTCTCGTACTTGTACAAGAGAATCGAGTACGGTACCGGTACCCTCCCAGCAGCCCGAGTTCACATTCTAGTCACAGCCCGGATTCTCACCTCTACTGTAGCACCCGACAAGGATGACCCAGTGAAAAAACCCGTAGGGAAAAAAAAAAGCAAATTGCACCAAATGGCTGGCGTTGGGTGAAGCTCAGGCCATCCCCGCACCTCCCGTAGGTCCCCCATTCCCCATCAATCGGTCGTGGCTTCACATCAGATACCATAACGTAAAAGGGGAAGATCGGCATGGGGATAATTCAAACGCAGCTGAAATTCCCCATGGCATGGGAGGATTCACCACGCAACAATCCAATTCACCCCTGGTTCGTCTCTAATATCCTTCCAAATGTACTCGAGTACCACTCTGGTCGCAGAGCGCGAGCCAGCAGCTGTGAGGCTGAACAAACCCTGGGCCCTTCGGTAGATCTGATTCGAGTCTGGCTGCCTGGTCGCCGACCTGGTTTTACCGAGCGCCAACCAATCGGGATCCACCACCCAAGATTCAAGTCGAGCCAACATTGGGGGCTACGAGTACTTGTAGGGAGGGCCGTAAAGGGAATATCTCTAAGCAGATCCTGGTTATTAATTGAAGCATCTCCGGTGATCGACGAATGGAAGATGTCGGTACCGGTAGACACCTTTGAAGTTGAAGGATATATCTTATTGTGATATATCTCAGCACACAAACACGAGCGCTCGTACCGTACTGCATATTGCAATGCCGAGATACCGTATGCCTTTGGCGACAGTGGTAATTGCGTGCACATACAACTACCCGATCAAAGCTCCATACCTAGTACTCGAGTATATGCAGCTTATTCAGGAACGCCCTTCAAGCCACAGCCATGGTAATTTCGGCATCGGAGTATGGGGGTCGGTCGGCTGGGAGATTGACGTAGATTTCTCTGAGCGCGTTGATTGTAACCCGATCAAAGCGTCTTGTTCCCTGATAATTGTCCCGTCCGTTGTTCGAGTCCTCACCCTGAAATTTCGCGAGCCCTCCACCGCCACCTCGTACCACGCGATTACTGACACCGCTCAAGTACCGCTATGTCATAAACGAGAAGATAACACGAACAGACTTCACAATGATTGCCCTCGCTCACAAATGCTCGCGGCACGCCCGAGCGGAATCGTCACACCGACAGCCAGCAGCCAGCAGAGATTGGACAGGCCAAGCGAAGGGAGAAAAGCAATAATCTGGCCTCCCGTAACTCGCACAAACACTCGATCGGTAGGATACTGTGCGATGCGGTTGAATTGAAATTGGGACATTGTTTGAAGGGCTCGTGTTACCTTGCGCACTGCGCGCGCTTTTTACCCTCACATTTGCCAGCTTGAGGCGATTTGCTCGAGCCCGGCACAGCACAGTGGTTGCCGTGAGTGCCAGCGGGTTGTGAAATGGACGTGCGTGCATCGCACCGTCGCCGAGAGGGACGGAATTTCCAAGAACGACACCAGATGCTCTCCAAGACCCATAGAGACCAGGGTTCTATCGCTAGTACTCTATATCATAGCCGAGAACCTCTAGCCGGAATACCGATGCTCGCGAACATGTCCAGTAGGATATTTACAAGAAAACCCTGACTCAAAATCACTAGTGAACAGCTTCGGCCCTTGTTCTCGCCCTCTCCCAACTTCAGCACTTGTACCGCAGCCAATGGGAACATGTTAGGACACCCAACCCCAGATCGGGATATACGAGCACTATTCCTGCACTCGCATACCGTAGTCCGTCAATGCAATACGGTACCGGTAAGTTAGGAAGAAATTACTCATCCCACCTCCCCTTGTCACCCATATCCCGTCCGAGCCTTGCTTTTAGCTTCTCTCTGTGGATCCTAACGATCGATAGAAAGTTTCTATAACGAGTGAGACTGGATGATTACCGGGACAGGCGATAATCAACACGGCCACATCCCAATATGCCGGGTGGGAATTTTTCTTTGAACAAGGTATGATACACGATACAAGAAAATCCAAAGCTGAGCGATGGTGCCATGTGGTGCCCTTGGTATGGTTATATGGCCGGATACCAGCATTCTGCAGTGTTGCCCTTGACTTGCAGGGGTGCTCGGGCCTGCGCGATCATACTGTACTCGAGCATCAATGATCGTAGCATGCTTCTGCTTCTCCTCGAGTACCGTGTTGTAATCCACCTGCAATGCAACCGTCCCGGAAAGTATTTTCTCCGGAGGGGATTTCTCGGATACCCAAATAATCTGATGTACTGCCAACCATCCTGGTACTAACGCTGAAGATCTTTCTCTCGGTGCAGTGCGGTATTGGCAGGCTAGTACCGGCAGGTCGCCCCGCCGGTTGCCTTGCTGGCTGGCCTGTGCTTCTTGTACTGTACGAGTCCAAGTACTCGTACAGTACCGTAGATCCATGCCATCATTTGAGTGGTTGTACCCAGGGGGTTGGCATCAGTGAGGCGGTCACATTTTACTGGCCAGATTTGGTGAGTGTAACCAGACCAAGGGCCAATGGCTTTTTTTTTCGAAAGTTGGAAAAAGTTAGGCGAACCCCACCGGACTCTGCTCTTAATATCTCAAAATGATTGCATCCGGCGCTGCGTTGTTCGAGTTGCCTCCTCTGGCAGGGTCTGGTATTTTTTGTGCTTTACTCTTTCGGAGGGGCTGAACAACTCACCTTTATCCGTGTTTTTGACCCAGGGGAGGAAATTTTGGACTACCGTATCTGTACGAGTACTTAGCACACGGTCCAATTATATGAGATCCCATGGTACTTGGCTCCCCTAATGTACTGTACCACAGCAGCCCCACAATACTGCTCTCTGAGTGGCCAAAATGACCCACGGGCCAATCACACCCTCTTCACCCCACCAACCCTCAACTCCTAGCGCGGAGGCTGCCATTCGGATACTCGAGCGCCGTATGATACCCCGTTTCCATTTGTCTCATCGAATTGGTATTTTCACTGGATTAGCAATCGTCACGGTGGGGGGGGGGGGGGGGGGGGGTGATATCGTGCAGTGCAAAATTACCGTAAAATCACGTAGTTGGGAGCTTGCCCGGAGTACCGTGGGACTTTCCAAAATCCCTAGTAGAACTAAGCTCTTGGCGATTCGATATATTTCTCTCAGTCCACTGTAAATAGTCCTGCTCTGGGTTAGTTTATGAAACGCCGAGTTTTAAAGGTAATGGGGCTTGAGTAGGAATACCGTAGGACATTATGTAATACTTGCCAAAATCCCCTCTACACAAGTGCTGGGGGTTGCATGAACCTTCATATTTGCTGTGCTTGTACAGTACACCCCGCCTGTGTTTGGGTGATAGAGATTTAAGGATTGTAGGGGCGGAGCCAGATACCGGTGATGCCTACTGCGACGCATTCTAGGTGTGTAAGGACACTTGATTGGACAGCCTTAGGATACCCCCACAGCGGTCTCAGAGTAGCAATGGGTTTCTTGGGCAGATAGGCAGATAAAATCCTCCAATGGCTAGCATTACTAATCGCGCAAAGTAGCAGAATTTGTAACCAGTTGCCTACCAGTGACATATCGCAGTTTTTGCCGGTGCCAGTACTCAAACATAGCTTTCCGCGCTCGTAGCGAAAACCTATTGCGAAGTGACATCGTGTGTTGCGGTCTCCCGATTGTGCCGGGAGTCACTCTAGGGGAACAAATTAACAGTGCTGTTTGGTGCCACCTCACAACCCAGCCTCCATTGTTCATATAGGGCGCTGAATTTGGTACAGGCCGTCCTTTCAGATAATCCATCATTTCTGATTCTGAGTCCTTTCTGAATTCTGTCCGGGGCTAGTACGGATGCCGTGCTGAGAGAAATTAGTGTATAGTACCGTGCGAACCGTGATTTGGGGACAGGGAGGCCAGAGGCGATGAAGCGAGGATGGGCGTTGGCTATGAATAGCTTCTTGTCCAAGAGAGGCACAAGAGAGCGAAACGCTTGGGGCCATCACTGGCTGGAGGGTCGTAGCTTATGCGGGAAATAAGAGTGAGATGGGGTGATGAAGTAAGGGAATGATAGGAAAAAGCAGGCGAGGCTTAAAAGAGAAACTTCGGGGTGCCACAGTGGCAGAGCTTCTGGAAAGGCATGGAGGGGCGGTTGTAAAATCGCGGGGATGGATCCCGTTGCAGATCATCAAGGGCAATCCACCCCTTATATACGTTTGTTGTCCTCTGTTTCAGATGATCATCGGACACGATGTCGATAAACGTCACCAATCACAGGTCCTACATAAGCAATAGACAACGCCATACTCTAGCGTGAGCACCTCTCTGCGGCCCCTTTTGAGATCTCTCTTCCACAAATTAAGAGCATGCAGGGCGTTCGCTGCAATGTCCCGTCGGTGTAATAAAGGCTCTAGTGTCCTGACCAGCAAGGTGACTTGGGCGGCCAACACCGACAAACCGATCTTATGAGTGCATGGTGTTTCATTCATACTCACCGCTTCCATGGGATATGCGAGAGTTCTTATGAAAATGCCATGAGATTACAACCTAGATTTTCTTGAAATAGTTACCGGTATGGTGCGTCGGAAATTTTGATCGAGTGATTATGTATGCCTGGTTTACTAGTTAGAAGAGGGCGTGGGCCTCGTCCGCCTCTAATCACACAATTTCATTATCTAAGACTCCACTTGGCATAGTGGGTGTCTTGGACATGTAGGTGCCAAGGTTAGAAATAAAGAAACGGGAAACTGAATGTGGCGGTGTGGGGGGGCCGTGGTTGCTTTGGATGTTTTAGAAAATTTTTTATATGGTTTAGTGGCTACTGTCGCTGGTAGATACTTGAACAATACCTGAAATTCAAGTGGGTGAAGACTGCCACAACCTACCCCCTTGGCTAGGAGACCCCCGACGCGTCAGGAATCATTGTTGCAGGTTTATTAGCTATGTTTTATAGAAGCACTGTATGGATTTTTTTCAGGTTGATATATCCAAAGGAATGAAGCTCCAAACACCCATTCGCAAGCAAAACTCTCACCTTGAAAAC